GCCATGGCTCACGGGCCCAGGCGCTCCGCGGCACGTGGGATCTTCCCGGACCGGGGCATGAACCCGTGTCCCCTGCATCGGCAGGGGGACTCTCAACCACTGCGCCACCAGGGAAGCCCAGTATACCAGAATTTGCTCACCAGTTTTCCTGTTGATAGAGAGGGAATTAGGGTTGTTTTTGTTTTGGGCTGTTATGAATAAAGCTGCTATAGATTTCTTGTGCAAGTCTTTTTTGTGAGCATATGTTTTCATTTCTCTTGGCTAAATACCTAGCACTGGGAAGTCGAATTAGAGCAGGTTTAATTATGGATTAAAAGTTGCCAGTCTTTTTTTTTTATGTATAAGAAATTTTTATGTATTAGAAATTGCCAAACTTCTTTTTAGAGTTGTTGTACCATTTCACACTCCGTCATCTGTGTGTGAGTGTTCTGGCTGCTCCGTATCCTGGGCAACCGTTGATGTTATTAGTCTTTTAAATTTTAGCTCGTCTGGTGTATGGTAGCAGTAGTTTCTCCCTAATGGCCAATAGTGCTGAGTACTTTTCCACGTGCTTATTCTTCATTTGCATATCTTTTTTTGAAGTGTCTTTAATCCTTTTGTGGTGTTTTCTTTTTTTTTTTAAATCAGTATTTGTTTCTTTATTTCTCAACCATAGAAGCTCTTTATATATTCTGAATAACAGTCCTTTGTCAGATATATGTTTTGAAAATATTTTTTTCCAGTCTATGGCTTGCTTATTCATTTTCTTAGTGGTATCTTTTAGTGATCAGAAGTTTCTCACTTTGATGAAATCTAATTTATTATTTTCTTGTTTTATGGTATTTTCTTTTTTCTGTCTTAAAAACTTTTCCTACTCCAGGTTATGGAGATGTTCTTTCTTCCAGCTGGATTATGGTTTTAGCTTTTACACTTAGGTCTGTGATCCATCCCTAATTTAATTTTTGTGTGAAGTATGAGGTAAGGGTTGAGGTTCACGTTATTTTCCCGTATGAATAGCAAGTTGTTATTGCACCATTTGTGAAAGGGCTTTCTTTTCTCATTGAATTATTTTGATGTCTTCATCAAAAATCAGTTGCTTGTAAAAGTGTTGGTCTATTTCTGGACCTGTCTGTTCTATATTGTTGATCTGTTTGTGTATCTTTGTAGTAATACCACACTGTCTTGATTGCTTTAGCTCTATAGTAAGTCTTGAAGTCATTTATTTTTCTTTTTTCAAGATTGTGTGGCTGTTTTAGGTCTTTAGCATTTCCATGTGAATCAGCCTGTCACATCTTATTATTTATTTGTAAATTGTTTATTAAATGCCTGCTGGGATTATGATTTGGATTGTATTAAGTCTGTATATCAATTTGGGTAAATGGATGCCTTAACGGTGTTGAGTCTTGCATTCCATGAACATGGTACATCTTTCTGCTTGGCAGTGGGCTTGGCTCTTCAGAGGGAGTATTATGGTTGAGATAATACGTTAAGGTGCTTAGCAACCTTAGTCTGGCATTTATAACAATTCACCCTGTAATGTTACTGTTTACTACTTGTTCCACTATCACAAAGCTTTATAAAGTGCTCTCTATTTGTGTCTCATTTTGCTTGGCTTGGAGCTTGGCCATGGTCATACCTCTAGCAAATGCCTGGGCAGGTTTGGAACGAGCTCCTTACGACTCTGAAGTCCGTGCTTGTGCGTGCATGTCGCGGGAAGCCAAGAGTGGTGAGCCTTGCATTGTATTTCTCTGCGTTTTGAGGATGGCCTTACGTATTGGTAGGTTAAAGTTAGAGTCTCCAACAACAGAATTTATTCTGAATGGTTTAAGCAGCACAGGAATGTATAAGGATACAGTAGTTCACCGTCTCTCTGGAAGAGCTAGACTCTGCGTTTGTATACGTGTGACACACTGTGGCTTCTCTTGTGAAAACATCGCCCTGTCACACCTAGTAGTCGACCCCAGAGTGCTGCCCGTGCCCACTCTGCGAGGACTTGGGCCTCTGCCCCTGCGTCTGTCAGAGGCGTTTTCCCTTCTCTACCTGCTCCCACGGCTCACTCTGACCCAGGTGAGCAGGGGCACGTCTCAGGGAAGGAGCCAGGCCACTCACGACCTGGTTACGGGAGGGCTGGGAACGGGAGGTAGTGAGCATGGGCAAATCAGCAACAGTTTTGGGAGCCATAAACGGTTCCCCAGCGCATCTGTCTGTGCATTCTTAGATTTTTCTCTATTGGCAGTAAAATGAAAACAAAACTCCATGAGAATCTAGATCTACGTTATACATTCTCAGCTAGTATTGAAACCAATGGGTGATCATGTGTCCCCATGTTCATATCTGTTTTAATCTGTTGTAACATGGACTCCAGACGCAGAACAGGTCTGGGTCACGTTTCTTCCGCTGACCACTGCGTGGCCTCGGGCAAGGAAGGCACTGCTCACCTCTCGGCGCATAGCTTTCTCACCTGTGAGCTCAGAGAATTGCAGTGTCTAATTAATAGTGCTATTCTAAGGTATTCTTTTAAGCTGCTGTACACAAAGTATGTAACATATGCTTGGTGTACAGTAAATACTCAAAAACATGACCTGTTTTATTTGCGTTCACCTTCACATATGCATTCTGTGTGCAGATCGCTTACATGTACAGAGAGCTTCACCTTGTTCTGTCTTAGAGAAGCAAGCAGTTACACAGGGTCAGTGGGAAGAGCTCTGACCTTTTAAGATACCACAGTGTTCTCGCTGTTCTACAGGGAGGATGTCTGGTGATAACAGAGTAGCAACAGTCCTCGCTTCCTACAGAGATTTCATGTTTATCAACTCAGACAATTGCCGTTGAGCTGTTATTGGCTGCTGTACCTTGGGGTCCACTTTCTGCCATGTCTTGAGGACAAGCCGGCAGTCCTGCACGTGGCTGTGTGGTGACCAAGGGCAGAGCAGAGCCCCATCTGCTGTTCAGGATGTCGTTGCTTCGCCTTCTCCGAGGCCTCGCTTGAGGAGCTGCACGGTTCTCGCTGAGCACTCAGCAGCAGAGGAGGGAATGTGGGCAGCCTCTGTCCTTGGACCAGACTGGCTAAGAGGCCTTCCAGGGCTGGAGCTGCGCCGCCTCGCGGGGCTCCCGCCCAGAGCTCGTGTCCTGGTCCTGATCTTTTGGCCGCACTTCCGTGAGGACACCGTCTAGAGTTTCTAGAACGGGGCTCTGGCTCCCAGGGCAGCTTGGTTCTGGTTTTATTTTGTCCCATGAAATGAGCAGCATGGGGTCAGAGAGCATGTGCCTTTCTCTGCTCTCCTTTCTCTGCTCTGCGTGTGACTCACATCTCACCCTTGATCAGGTGTTGCCTCTGAAGAAAGCTTGCGTGCGAGTGAAGGCCTGTGACCTCGTCACGGGTGATGCTCCCCTTTGCAGGACGCATTAAAGTGGTTGCACGGGGCTCAGCCGTCCTGTAGGCCCCCAGGCGTGCGTGCACCTGGGCCGTGACAGCCCTGGGTGGCGAGGCTGCTCCCGGGCAGCTCTGCGTTGGTCCAGGGAGGGCAGGGCTCTGGTCTCAGCTCTTGGTCAGCATGTGGTGGGATTTCTGCTTGTTCATACAGTCCTGCGAAGACGTGCGCTGGGCTCCTTCCCTGACCGCATTCCACGTTCACTGGCTCTCACCCCTCCTTTCTCTGGACGTCTCTCCCCTCCCTCACATTTAATGCCCTTTTCCTGTGCAGTTTCCGGCCTCGGTTTTCTTAAGTTCCACGGCTCTGGTTTCCCATTTTCCTAGCGGTTTGTTTAATCAAATCAGTGGAACCCTTGCCTCGTAGCTGTCTCCCCATCGGTGACAGGGTGCTGTCCTGTCCACCCCAGGCATCTCCCCGTCTCACCATTGAGACAAGCTCATTTCTCTGTCTCAGGAATGCAGGTGGATATAGTAGTGCCCTCGCCTCAGCCAGACGCCCGAGTCAGCTGTGTCAGGGTCTCCTTCCACCCCTGAACCCAGTACTTAGCTCCACGAGGCTTCCTTTATAGAGCAGCAGATCTGAGGGATCTTGACTTGTTGTCCTGCATTGGTTGGCATATAGTAATTTTAAAAATCTTTGATCTTTTCAGAATACATTGAAAATGAATATATGAAGCTCAGTGTGATAAGTTTTAAAAATAGCACCGAACACCTACCTCTTATTGGAAAAGTTGGCCTTTCTTGGAAAACTAATATTTTTGATGGCTGTATAAAGGTAATTTTTTTTTTCTTAAAGTACCTGGTTTCTGTATAATAAATGTGTCTGTTGATGTATATGTATGATGCTGCTTTGAAAGTCCTAGATTTATTGTTCTGGTGTCTGAAGATTTGTGCACGTCCTCTTAGCCAGTGGCGATCAGTTGATTGATTTATCCAACGTGTATTGAGGGCCTTTTGTTTTCCACTGGGCATGGTGGAGTTGGTGCGTAGGTGGCGCGCAGTGCGTTGCTGAGCGGTGTTGATTGCAGCCTCTGTTCCCTCCAAGTCCTTCTGGCTGTTCGCTTTGTGGAGAAAGAGTGGAGCCATAGGTTGGACCAGGCAAGTAACATTTACTCAGAAACATCTTAATTACTTCTCAATTACATCTTAGGACACCAACTTAAAGTTTATTGCAGTTATAAGTTCCAGCATACAGATTTTTCCTTGAACAGTTAAATCAGTTTTTACCTCTATCACAAACCAGCCACACGGAGGGGAGGGAGGATGTGGTGGCCGGGGACTGGCGGGGGGGCGGCGAGGAGGGTTCTCACGCAGTCTCGCTTCTCCTGTGATCCCTGTGCCTGTGGGTGCCCTGGTTGTCACTCCTCTCCATCTGTGTGTTGTGGGACGAACAGGATTTCCACAGGATGCATCTGCTGTGGATGCAGAGGGCCCCAGTTAAGCTGGCTTAATTCTGCCTACAAGCATGGATGCCTTGTGACAGTGACTAGGGGTGGTGGCTGAGGCCAAGAGCAGCGTTGTTGTTGAGCGTGAAAAGCAAGCACTTCAGTGTCATTAAGGATTCTCTCTTGATCCTCTTGCTATTTGATATACTGAGATGTTTTATTCTGTTTATTTGTGAACAGTTGTTTAAACCTTGGTAAAGATTTATCGCATACAAAGGAATATTATTTCATGTCTTCAGGAGCACAGACCTGACTTTTTAAAGTGGATTTAGATGAGTCTTACAAAAACACGTGCTAAAATGTTGAAGTCACAATGGACCTTGAGGACCTAGAAAGGCAAAATATCAACATGGCAGACTTAAAGGGTCAGCATAATATAAAAATAATATAATTTGTTTTGTGTTCCTTGGTAATCGAGAAGCAGATATTCAGTTCCCACTGTGGGGTGGGAAGGGAAGCGTTGTAATCGTACAGGAAACAAAGCTTTATCCCAGCTCTGACCATTGGAAAGGCAGTCTCTGCGTTTGTTGGTGCCGGTTGCTACGCGCAGGCGCAGCAGTTCAGTGATGGCCAGAGCTGACCTGGCCGCCCTCCCCACCTCCCCGCCACACCCCGTGCAGAGGACTGTCACATGCTTGTCACATGCTGTTCCTGCTTCCTGTAATTTTGTTCTCTTCCCTCTTCTCCCTCCTCTTTCACTTAATCCTTCATGACGAGGCTCCATCTACATTTATTAAGTCAGGTCTAATTGGCCATTTTATCCTCACACTTACGAACATCTGTGTTTATTTTGTAGAGTTGCTCTGTAATGGACTTAACTCTTTTGGAAGAATATGGGAAACCCTTCTGGTGTTTCAGTTCCCCGGTGTGCATGAGACCCTCTCCCGGGCCCTCTGACGGCCCTGCTTTCTTGGGGGAGACGTACCGTGTGGACTACGCAGACGCGGAGGGAAGGGTGCACTTGGAGCTGGTGTGGATCGAGGAGACGGGAGAGTACTTTATCGTCAGCCTGGCGCTCTACCTGCGGGTGGCAAAGATAAACCACTGGTTTGGGACCAAATACTGAGCATTAGCAGTAGGCGGCAAATTATTGTTGCTGTTTGTTTCTTTTGGACTGACTGGTTTTGTTCTTGGTGTTTGTTGGAAGTTAAAATAAAGCAGTAGTCTGTTCGATGTCCTCTTATTTCACACTAGAAATCATGATTTCTGAGTCATTTTAAAGTTAAGGTTAGAAGATTAAGTTAAATTTTAAAACCGTGAAAATAGCACATCACAGTGGAAATTCATGTAAAAGAAAAAAGATACTTGCTTCTCTTCTGCACTTACACTTTAAAAAAACAAGAAAACGGATCAGACTGAAAACAGATCAGTTTTCTCTTGAGGGTGTGTGTGTGCGCCTGTGTGTGTGTTGTATACGTAGGGTTTTTTCTTTATTGGTTAGAGCCCCAAATAAAGAAATACATTTCAATGTGAACTTCATGGTATTCATTAAAATTAGAAAGTGCTGTATTCATGGCATTTAACAGCCACAGTAGTGTTCAATAAAGCAAAGTAAAATAGACAGGTGACCTGCTTCACAAGGAAAGATGCACCTGTAACCATCAGAGGACGTTGTTATCCCTTAGAAGAGCGAAGCGTGACGCACATGCAGTTCAGACACCCAGCTCTGCATCCGTGGGACAGGGAGGGAAGGACGCTCCCTCTGCAGAAGTGCTTTCGGAGGATCCGGAGACACCTGGGGTTCAAATGGAGGTCACATCCACCTAATCACGTGTTTCAGGGATCTGGTTCTAAATTTGTTTGAGATTGTATCGATTATCTTTTTCTGTCATATTTTTATCTCCCACTTAAAGTTGTTCTCAGAAGTGATCGTTGAAATGCCGTGTTGCTCCCACAGGGGCATACACGATTAAACTCCACCCCCCTCTATCTCTCTTCTTCTCTTATTGAAATATCAGTTTTCTCTTGAGAGGTGTTTGTGTGTAGAATAAAGAGCTTGAAGACAGCAATAAAAGAAAAGGTTCTCAACCAAAGAAACGTGAGAGTAAAAAGGATCCCTGCTCTGAAGCAATCCTCACCCTCCCGCCGTCCTAGGTCTTGGGCTGCAGATGTTGGGGAGGGAGAAATTTGAGATCCATGTCAGACACTGAGAGCACGGGGCGATGCTACTTCGTGGTCTTGCCAACAAGGGGATGTGGAGCCCCTGCCCCACCTGAGTGGCATTTGGGGGGTGGAGAGGCAGTGGTTTGAGCCGTGAGCTCAAGATGAAGGTAGAAGAGGACAGGATGCCCCGAGAGGCAGGTGGCAGAAGCCATGCGTCACCAGCAGGACTGAACTGGAAACAACCACAGAATATAGTGTGGGGTGACTCCTTGGACTCACTGGGTTAGATGGTGGCGGGACTAGATGTCCTAGAAAATAGTAGTAGAAGTGAGGTAGCCCTGGAGAAAGAGTGCTGCTCTCTTTATCCCCGGTTGAATGGTATTTGGATGGAATGGGAGCCGGGTAATTCACGTTGGTAATACCGTGGGGAAACCTGTAGGCGGGAGCTCACAGTTACAGCACTTGTCTGCATCCCAGTCGTCTGGTCCAGGTAATGCAGCGCCAGGCTCATAATCCATCCTCAGTAGCTGTTGGTTACATCCATGGAAACTACTATAAGGGATATACCAGCAGCAGTGGGAGCGTGCAGGAAGCAGAGATTGATGGGGGTGGGAGTCCTTCCCATCTGAGCTAGCTTCTGAAGGAAGGTTTATCGGGTGGTGTTGGGGGAGGGGTGAACGAGGTAGTCACCATCATGGCGCCTTCCCAAAGCCATGCGTGCACACCACATGTCACCAAGTGATGCTGGAGGGCTCAGCCTGGCCCCCACTTGCCCTTTCACGGGTCTGGGATAATGTTCAGCTTTGTAAAGCTGTTATTTGTCTTCATATTTCTAAAATAATCTGTGGCTGTTTCTGGATTTGTCAATTTTGGCGTATATTGACTTACAGTAGATAAAATATCTCTCTTTTACACCAGCTGCTTCCCCTCTTGCATCATACCAGATGATTCCTGCAGTTGAAAATACGTTGTTGTGGTTTGTTGCTGTCTATAATGTTGTTCCCAGGGATGCTTCTCTCTTTTACAACTTTTTATTTTTCTTGGATTAGTAATTGCCTTCTTTTTCTACTTACATGGTTTTCAACGAACCTAAAATTTTCCTTAACGATCTGTCCAGTCTTTCATATGTTGGTCAGTGTTTCAGTGTTCACCCCCAAATGCTTAAACATGTCAAATAATCTCTAAATTCTACTACCTCTCCCCGCCCAGGCTCATCCCCTGAGATCTGCCTTTGTTTGCTTTAATCTAAACTTCTCTCTAGCCCTACTGGACAGCCCACATCCTGGGAAGTTTCCTATGTGAATCCTGCCTTATGGAACGTTGTCTTCATTCTTGATTTAAAGTTGACCCTTGAACAGTGCCTATGTGGACCCTCTACATAGTTGAAAATCTGAGTATAACGTGAGGTCAGCCCTCCATATCTGAGCTTCCTCAGTATGAACTGATTCAACCAACCTCAGACTGGAGTGCAGTCGTATTTACTGTTGAAAAAAATCCAAGTATAAGTGGATGCGTACAGTTCAAACCAATGTTGTTCAGAGGTCAGCTGTATATCCTTTCTTCAGTGGCATGCGTTCTGTCGGTCTCTAAGAAAGTGACACAAGAGATGCATTTGGGATCCATGAATTTCTGAGAACGTCTGTTAGATAGTTTCATTGGGTACAGATTGTAGCAGGAAGAATATTTTCTCTTAGAACCTGGAGGACATTTTGTCGTGAGCATTTATCCTGTGGTTGCCCTTGACATATATGACGCCATTTTGGTTGGTCTTCCTTTACATGTGCTCTGTTCTTTTTCTCTTCTCTCTGGAAGCTTTTGGAATTTATGCTCGGTACCTTGGAGTGGGTCTTTATCCTTCATTATGGGTCATTTTAATCTAAGAATTTGTGTACTTCAGCTATGGGTTAAAAAAATCTGTCAGTGTTTTCTCTTGTATTTTTCTGTAACTTTTATTAATCAACTATAATCCTTTCTGGGTGGATCCTGTGAAGTCTCTTATTTTTTCCATCTTCTGTCTCTTAGTCCTTCGTTGTGCTTTCTGTAATAGTGTCTCAGTTTTATTTTTCAACCCTTTTAGCTAATTTTCTTTTTTATTTTGATGACCAGGATTTTACTTTATACGAATTTTTTTCTAGCTCCATATAAAACACTCTGTACCTGCTTCATAAATGCAGTCTCTTCTCAAAGGCAGGGGTTGGCAGACTTTTTCTGTAAAGGGACCAATGGTAGTTTTGGCTTTTGTGGAACGTACGGTGTCTGTTGCACCTACTCTGCTGTGCCGTCGAGCATGAAATCAGTTGCGGACAGTACACAAGTGAAGGGCCCGTGTTCCACAAAACCTTGATTTACCAACCAGGCTGAATTTGGCCTTCAGGCGGCAGTTTGCAACCCTGCACACCAGTCTCTGGGGTTATCAATTTTAGTTTTCAAAACGTTTTCATCTTCACCATTTGGCAAAACTACAGCAAGAATCATCAGCGCTAAGTTAGTGGGTGAAAGTTTGATGAGAAACAGGATACTGATGTAGTCTCAGAGTATCTTGCCACAAGATACGTACTGTTAACAAAGGAGAGGACAGTCAGTCCACAGTGGAGGGACCCAGAAAGGCTACATCCCAACCCAGTTTCCTGTCGGCCCGTGCTTCCCCCTCTCCGCTTCCCGTTTGCTGTGGTGGGGTGCCGTGCCCTGAGGAAACGCTCTCCGTTCTGCCGGGGCCCCAGCGCCTCATGCCTCTTGCGCCCCTGCTCCTGCGTGTGCAGCCTCTGCACCCCGCCTGGGCCATGTGGGTCCCGCACCCCGCCTGCTGCAGGAATGGACGTGGGGGAAGGTGGGATTTCTCAAGGGTTAACATACTGACACTGTGTTAGTTCTGCATGTCGTGAATGTCCACAGATTCTGCTCAGTATAAATAAGTTAGCCCTGTTGGGGTCTGGCCATCTTAGTATTATATGTATTGAAATTACGGTATCAGGCACGAAATAAAAGCATTTGCTAATCATAGTCCTTTGTCAGGAAGCCTCTTTGTCTGCAAAGCGAGAGGACTTATGCTGGGATATCTTAAATACAAAGGATCCAGGAGCAGGGCTCGTTGAGTTGAATCAATTCAAGAAGAGTAACGGGTGCAAACCCTTCCTTATGCAGTTGGCAAAGGAAACAAGTGTGAGTTACACACAGAGAAACGTACCTACCACTAGTGTGCAGTCAAAGAGACATACTTTTATTTGAAGTATACTCCACATGTAAAATCTTGTCAGATTTAAAATCAGACCAAAGATCTGACTGGCCTTTGCAAAGATGATTTTTATACGTGACTTGACAGTTGTCTATTATTTTTATTAACATCTCCTTATAAGTCTAATGGTTATAACTGCTGCAGAAAGAAAATGTTCACACGGGAAGGTCACTCTGTGCAAAATGTTTTTCCAGTGTTTGTAGTGTAAAGAAATGTGCCTTTAAAAAACTGCATGCAGAAGTGTTGGTCTTACACACTGCGTGTATTTTGTACATGGAATAATATGGCATCCAGCTTCAGCACAGGGCGTCTTTTGTGGTCTCCTGCGGTTTCAAGGAGTAACACGTGGATTTTCTATGAGCTTCCGCTAGGCAAGCCCTGGGCTGCAGACGCCACTGGGACTGAAAGCCATGCTCACTGAGCACAGCAGAGTAGGGCTCAGCACGAGGTGGGGTGGAGCGGGTGGGTGGTAGGATGCCGAGAGGAGCGAGGGGCTGCTGTGGAGTAACATAGTAAGGCATGGTCAGGAGCGGCTCCGCGATGCATGTCCCACTGCTGGGAGGTTGGGAAAGGGAAGGGCTGGTCTGGGGCCACAGTGGGCTAAGAGGCCAGCTGTAGACAGTGATGGGCCCTTCAGCGGAGCAAGAGAAGCCAGCTGCTCAGGCGGGGACTCGGACTCACACACGTATCATTTCAGGTGCACGTAAAATGCCGCTTTGTCCCTGAAGATGACACACAGGATGAGTGCGTCCTCTGAGAAATGTGTAGAAATTGGGATTTGCTTTCGGAAGGTGGGATTTTAGAGTCTTCCTGAACTGGCTCAGCCTCAGCCCGGACTGCTG